CCTCTCCTTTGTTCTGCTCGCTGCTGCCTCCCCAGGCCAGAGCACGCCCTGGCGCGGCGTAGGTTCTCGCGGAACGCTTCTGCACTAATGAATGTTCATCAGGGTCGGAGAGGTTCCGGCCTGGAGAAATCCGTGGTGCGATGGCACGGGAAGCCGCGGGCTGGGGGGCCCGAAGCGAGGCCGTTTCTTGCCGGTTCCACCAGCACCCGCCGCCTCTGGGGAGCACAGGCCAGGCGCACAGGAGGCGAAAGAGCAGCGAAGCTGTAAGTGCGACCTCCTTCCCGGGAGCTGACGACTCCGGTCAAAACCTAAGGCACGTGGCGCGCCCTCGGCCTCTCGGCCTCTCGGCCCCCGCGCCCGCCCCGCCCTGGCGTGAACCCTCCACGCCCCTCCGCGCTTGACGGCCGTGCACGACGCGCCGCCGACCCGAGGCGAAGCCGCAGCCTCGGGCCGAGCGCCCGACCTCGCCGCGTCCGCCTCGCCGTCTCCGCGTCCTGCCCTGCCCGCCCCGCCTGCCGCACTTCAGCTGCAGCGCGCCGCTGGCCGCCCCCCAAACGCACGTCTTCCTCCTTTGTCCTGGGTTTCGGCCCATCCTGCTCGTGGGCTTGTACACCCTCCTCGCCCCTCCTCGGTGGACGGCGCGGAGCAGACCACCCACCTCGCACCCTTCTTCAGGCGGGTCTCGGGCTCTCGGAGGGAGGGGAAGGCGGGCCCGACGCGTGTGCACTTCTCAAGCCTGCCTGTGCCACGTCTGCCGGTGGCCCAGGGAAGACGTGGCTGCTTCTAGGCTGCAAGGGCGGCGAGGTAAGCGTTGCTGGCCGATGGCGGCGGCAGCACGATCTCCACGAACGGGGCAGGCATGCGGGGTGGAGGAGTTAGTGAGCTTCTCTGCAAGAGGTGGCCGTCCCCCCACCCCTCCCCAGCTCCTGCTCATCTTCTGGTCTCAGTCCAGAAGTCACACCCCCTGGGATACTTTTCCTGATCTCCAAAGCCTGAGTGAAAAACCCTTCCCGTCACACTCCATACTCTCTGCTACTGCACTTACTACCCTCTGTTGTCAAGGAATAAATGGGTGGATTTGTTTGATAAATGCTGGTCCTTCCACCCCCACAGCTGAGCTGATTACACTCCACATTTTATGACGTCATGGCATTCTTCCCTATAGGGAGTGTGTTTTGGTTTCTGTTTTATCTGTATTGCTAGTACGGTGCCTGATATAAAGTGGGCACTTATTTATCTGTGAAATAAACAAGGATATGGCCATAATAAAAGTAAAACGGGGCAGTTACCTTTCCAAAGGCACAAAGAATGTTCTTGAGACCACCACTTTGCAAGACTCAGGAAGCTGCAAATATTTAGAAAGATCTGAGACAGCACAAAGCTCAGTGAAATAAGACGAAATGCCCCTCAGAGGGGAGAAAATTGGAAAAAATTAGCCACAGAAAGCCATACTGTCCTTTTTATTAGATTTCACAATACCTTTTTAAAGTCCAACCTCTCCTTTGTAGAACTTTTGTTATTTATTTCTTCACTAGAAAGCAAACTCTGTTCTTTGTTTTTTTTTGTTTGTTTGTTTGTTTTTTTGAGTTGGAGTCTCACTGTCACCCAGACTGGAGTGCAGTGGCCGCTCCCGGCCACCGCAGCCTCGACCTGCTGGGCTCCGGCGATCCTCCTGCCTCAACCTTCCAAGTAGCCGGAACTACAGGCGCGCGCTACCACGCCCAGCTAATTTTTGATTTATTGTCGAGCTGAGGTCTCGCTGCCCAGGCAGGTCTCGAACCCGTGGGCTCAGGCAATCCACTCACCTCAGCCTCCCAAAGGCGTGGGATTACTGAGCCACCGAGCCCGGCAAACTCTGTTCTTGAAAGAAAAGCCTTTCTCCCTGGTCCAGCGCTTCCCTGCTTTACACACACACACAGACACGCGTGTATAGACACACACGCACTATCCACACATATTTTTTAATTTTTACAAAAATAATATAACACAGGGCTTGCACAGCTCTATCAGCCCTTCAAGTTAAACAGGCAAAGCTTATGCTTCAGCATAACCATTTTTTACTTTGGACTGAAGTGGGAATTCTAGGCCTAAAAACAATTTAAGATGACCAAAGGCCACACAGCAACACAGACTTAATGCATCTTGATCTTCACACAACTAGGAATGTGGTGCTGTTATCCTCACACTGGGTGCTACACAGCCCCATAGACAATGTTCATTTTAACTAAAATGCAAAAGCAAAATAGTGCATTAAAATAATCCCCTACTCATTGCATTAGCACATATACCAAATTATACTACTGCATGATAATCTCTAGGTACCAAGACTGTATTTTTAGCATGTGCTCATCTCTACTTCATTAAACCCAGTATCCATCCAGCAACCACAAAAAAAGAATGTGTGCTGTACAGCAAGGAAGGGGAAAGTGACAATCTGCAGGCTGACAACTTACATGGCAACCAGAAGGAAAACAAATAAGAGAAAATGAATCTTACAAGATATACATAAAACTAATTTGCAGTGATATTTAAAGTCTCATCAGAAGGAATACATTTGTGTTACAGTTACATGGAAAAAGAGAAACTATGTGACATTCTAGGCTTTCTCCTAGAATGTTAAAAATGTTCATCAAAAGTTAATTGGTATAATAAAGACGATCAACAGGTGACTGAATAAACAGAATGTCATGTAGCATTTTAAAAACACAGATTCTGGGACTAAAAGCTACCACCAAAATATCCAGAAATCTGAGTTCACAGATACTCTATTTTGCATACTTGATACTAATAAATATAACCACTAAGTTATATAAGGAACGCAGGCGAGATCCCAGAGGACAGTCGCAAAAGAGAAGGGACACCATCCCCCCAGAGTGAACAGCAGAGCTTCTGATATTGTTTGGTTTCGTCCCCCACAGACAAAGGTCTTCTCTTCAGAGCAGAAGTCTCTCAATAGCTCAAATCCATTCTCCCTGCCCCCGCCGAGAAACAAGAGCCCACGCCTGGGGCTGGAAGGTCTTCCCGACGCTGGTCTGACCCCTGAGCGCCCGAAGCGGAGGGCCCGCCACGACCTCGATCCGCGCCGGCACAGCCTCCGCCTGCAGGAGGCGGCAGCACTGTCCGAGCCACCAGCGAGGTAACGCAAGAGGGGCTAGAAGAAGGAGGTGTCTGACGAAAAGGCACCCGCAAGTCTAAAATCCTCTTTGGTGAGAACGCTGTACATCCGCTGTGGCAGAGCTTTGGAGTAGGGCGCAGGGCGTGGCACAGTAGTGCGCAAGATGAATTCCCGGCCGGCGGGTGGTGGGAAGTCGGACGCGGAGTTCTGCCTTCTTTCCTCTGGGGAGCTCAATCGCTTCAGTTCCTCTTCTGGTGGAGCCATGGCTGCAGCCTTGAACGGAATCAAATGCTAAATTCAAAAGCCAGTCAAATGCTAAGACTCAGACACTTCTGAAGGACAGAGGCATAAACACGTTAAATACATAAAAAATGTTCTACATTACTCAGTAATGTGGCTATATGTTTGGTTACTCAAAAAACACATAACAAGGAAAATGCAAGAAGCCTGAAACACTGCATGAGCAGCCGGACTGGTGACAGAGACAGAAGGGACAATGACTGCCAGGCACTCTGCTCTGAAGAGTGAGGGCCACATGCAGCCATCTGGTGGAAAGGGATCACAGAGCTGAACTGGCTTCTATGTGTTTCTCTCTAGCAATGACCCAAGTCCCTGTCTGATGTCCTCAGTCAGTAAGGAACAGTTTTTCTTCCGTCTGAAAAGATGATTTTCATCTCAGCTCTTTCAATTAATTGTTATTAAGGCTCACTTGCCAAATTAAAACTGAGGGCACTGGTTTTGTCTGCTGGGCAGCTCACATGACACAGAAGTGACAGAGCTCCATACAGCAATAGCCACAAAAAAGACGTTCTCAATATCAAAGGCATCTATTTTTTGCATTAAAATTGCATAAAATATTCATTTAGAGCCTACATCTTACACTCTAATCACTTCTACTTCTTTCACAATACCATCAATTTGGGAAAAAATTGTTTTGGCAATGGAAACATGAAATCATGTTTAAGTAAACATCAGCAAGAAAGGTATGCCAAATCCAGACTGTGAAAGAGGTGGTTAAGTTTTCATGACCTTATGAAGTTAGAGGGATGGGAAGGAACGAGGAGCTATGAGGGACAAAAGCTATTTTGTTACCTCATCAGAAGATTCAGTCAGCTTGAACAGGGGTGAGAAAAGAAACAGTGATGAAAGGGAAACAAGCAAGATGGTTTAAATAGGGCTAGACAAGAGATTTCAGTATTATTTCAAAGACAGCATGCACTACACTAAGGAACGTGATCCTATCAAAAGACTATTCAAGACAGACAAAGTCACACCACATACAACACGCCAAGCTGTCCAAGAGAGCAGACATTTCCCACCACTGCAGGCATCTGATGGTTTAACAGGTGACATACAGAATGTCATTTAATGGGGAAATGATCCAACAAAAACCTAGCTCTTTTGCTGAAGAATTAAGATGCTTTCAAAAAAGGGCACATGGCTTGAAAAATAGATAATGCAGTGAATTTAAGAAGAGGTGCCTAAGAAATATTGAACTTAACAAGCCCGAAGCAAAATCCAATCAGTCATTGCTGAATTCCATTTAAATATGTACATACCACAGACACATATAATCATGAACAAGATTACTACAATTTATAATTTCAAGGAAAAGTTCTAAATATATAAAATTACTGTGTGCTATAAAAAAGTCCCAGTGAAACTTCATCACAACTTTTAAAAAGTTAAGATCTTGATTAATTAGTAAAACTGATACAAGGTGTCAGCTAATTATGAAAAGTTACACGAATAAACTTTAACAGTTTAGCCAAACATTTAAGAGCTGAGTCAAAAAAATGTATCAACCAGGTGCTTGTATATGGATTAGATAGTCCACCAATTCCCTAAAAACATTCACTACAAAGTCTGTAAGTTTGCAATCTGTTTTTTAAATTACATAATGTAAGATGAATGTAAAATTTCAGCATTCCTTAAAGGGGACTAGCTATCTAATGAGACTACTGAAAAGATAATATACTATACTCTTGAACTTTTTGATTCTGAAAGATATCTTAGGTATATTAAGTGGAAATTAAGAATAACAAAGAGATTATGTAATATACCCCTTTTAAAATACATACACACACACACACACGCATATACTAGATGTTAAATGTTGGTAATCATCAGTGGGTAGTAAGACTTTCTTTATAATTTTCTATATTGTCAAAATTTTTATACTGAGCCTCTACTTGAAATCAGTGGAGGGAGTAAGGAGGCCATTTCTATTTTGGGGAAAATAATTTTGCTTAATTATCCAAAACAACACTCAGCACTAAGAATATAAATACTTAAGAACTTTTTTAAATGATCAAAGGGGAAAAGAGTTTTTGCAATATGAGGAAAATTCATATTGGTGGTTAACAAGAAAAGTATTTGTAAGCTGCTGAGTAGTAAGCTGGCGAAGACATTATAGAATGGGAAAACAAACTCAGATCTTGGTTTCATGCCATAGACAAAAACAAAATAAATCAGAACAAGCATCTACTGTTTTCTAGAAGTCTAATTTATACAGAAATAAAATATTTGGTTATTGGCTTGAAATTCTTAAGTTTAGGGAGTTACCCCATACATAATCTCATTTTTTAGCTTTTGCTGGGCATTCATATCAGTATATTTGGCTATGATTTTAAATATATTAAATAGTTATACTCCAGACCAACTCAACAGAGAATATCAAATTATTATTCCATGTGTAGGCCCACAGAAATTCTTGTTCTTACTTGATTTTCAAAATTGGGTCATTCTAGTGTCATCACAGTGTCAGGTAAGGGGAACTCTGTATTTAGTGTACATCATAATACTTTGATCAGAATCTCTAATATTAATGAGCCCTGAAATGGAATCTTCTGTGGGATGCCGGCATCTCTCTTAACCAGTAACTAAGGTATCTTCATTTTTAAAACCTTTACTTTCACTAGGAGAGGTAATAATGATGATAATAATTGAGACTGCTTTCTTTCTGTGCTGAAGCCTAAGTTACCATAGTCTGAGAAATCTGTAATCTTCCTTTTCCTTTCTAGGGAACCCTCTAAAGGTAGATCTCTTCACCATTATAAGAATAGTTAGATTTACGATTCAAGCTGAGTTGTGAATCCATTTCGGTTAAAGATGGTAAAATTGAACTATATTCTAATGTGAAAGTACCCCCAGTAAACCTTTTTTGTCCACACCACAGCATTGCCCACTGCTAACCAAGCTCCTGCCAGCTTCTGTAACAATGGATTTCAGACACTTCCAATTTCTAAAATTTAGTTCCTAGAATATATTTATCATCTTACTTAAACACATAGGAAAGTAAATGAACATCAAAGCCTAAAAAGTCAGAGAGTCATCACTGTTCGGTGTTCAAACCCAATGTCCAGACTCACACTCGGTTGACAGCTGTATAATCAGCCACATGAGAGAGTTAAAATAGCATCTTCCCAAGCAGAGGTCTGGAGAGAGCATGACAGAGTCAGGAATGAATGTCGCCTACCCTCTGAGCACTCACAAACAACTTGTGAATGATCCTGCCAGCATGTCCTCTTCCGGCACCAGCGACTAACACCTCAGGCTGCTCCAGCAGGCAACTCACGAACCTAGGAGAGAGGCGAGGGGAGGATGAAAGTGGCTGCTCAGGTCTCCCTGCGGCCCTGCCCTCAGGAGCTGATCGATCCTCCGACTGACACTGGTTCAGCCTACCACGGCTGGAATGGAAATGTGACACAACAGGATAGGTTGACATTTGGAAATGAAAGAGACTCAAGTGACAATCGTCCTGCTTTTTCAACTATTCTCATAAAAACTTTTAAAAGCTTATCTCTGTCCAAGCATTAGAAAAAAATATTTAGTCAATATTTTTCAGATTAGAAGCTTAGAAAATGCTACAGTTAATAAAAGTTGAAAAAAATTCTGGCCAATAGAAACTAAATTTTATTTATCTGGTAAAGCGATGATCCATATTTGTTTTTGTTTTTTTTAAGGGGGGTGTGTACGTGTGTGTGTATGAACGTATGTGTGTGTGTGTTTAAAATATATGTAGTGCGGGGCAAAGTTGCAATTGTAAACTATGTGATTATGTGCTGAAAACACTGTACTTCTAAGTACATCACAGATAACGTATGGTAGAACTCACAAAGGCACCAAGCCACCAAGCCTGTACCACCTGTCACTGATCATACTACTATTTTAGAAACGATTCCCTTGATTATTGATTATTCTTCTCATTTAAAAGGAAGGCATTTTTAAGAACAAAGTAGGCTGGGAGAACATTTCACTCAATAAAAAATTTTTAAAATTCCAACAATAACTTGTTAAAAGCTACAGCAAATGCCTTGCCATATAATATTAATTCTTTAGCATCAACAATGCCACTTCTCATGAAAAAAACCTGATGAAAATTTGTAAATGACAAACTTAAGATGCTAGACAAGCTAATTTGGGGACACTTTATCACATATTAAAATAACATTGCTCTTTCCGGTAACACAGGCCTCACTAGAAAAAAATATTTAGTCAATATTTTTGACATAGGCTTTATTGATAATGGAGCCAGGTCTCAGAGAGGAAAAGCTGGGCCTGATCGTTTGTCTCATCTGAAAGAAGCTATCTGGTCAATACAAGTGCATAGGATGTATACCTTTGCTATCGCAAACCTTGTTGAAAATAAAATAAAAAATGAGAATAGTGGGCAGACACAGTGTCAGCACTGCCTACATGTGGTCAAGGAACAGTGAGAGCCGAAAACAGAGTTTCGGACACTGTGAGCAACAGTTAACACTCCTCCACAGGAAATTTCTGGCACCGCATGTCCAAAAGCAAACCAAGGAATCCCCAGAAACAGAGGCTCTGGCAGACTGTTTCTAAAAGTGACAGGAATGGAAACACTTGGCAGAGAGACTCAGAAATATAGTAGAGGTCAAATCCTATGATACTTAAATATTTCTGTCTCTAGTCAATGCTGGTTTTAAATAATATGAGTACCAGAAAAAGAATCTCAATATCCTGTTACATTTTTCCTTAAGAGAGTGATGGCTTTTCCTACTGCAGATAATACTGAGTTAGCCAAATAGCAATTACCTTTCAAGATCTTCCTTTTCCTCCTCCTGTTCACATTTCTCGGTTCCAAACTTGGCTTTCAGTGACCGGGCTCTTGCAATTATAGCTTCCACACTGGTAATCTGATGGATGATTTCCTTGGGAGACAGCAAAAAAGCTGAGCCTCTTAAAAACATATCTTTAAAATAATTATTGCCAACTGGGGAGAACACTTGGCAAGATCCTGACACTACATCAAACTTACTTCCAATTTCTTGTCTTCTGGATTGGGGAAGTGCAAAACTTTACTGGAATGGGATATTATCTGCTTTATAATCTTCTTAACTGAAGAAATGTTTTCCAGACTTTCTATTTTTAAAGAAATTGAAGCCATCATTAAATAAATTAAGCAAAATATACCTTCCCTTTGGCAGTTAACTAATGACTAATCAAATATGACATTTACCTTCTTCTTTTACCTTGAGTACAGCGGCATGAATCACACAAGGTAACAGGTGCCGAGCAAGATCTGCAGGTTTCTGGACTGCCAGATAGTGCAGCACCTGACGGAGGCACAACATTGCATGAACGATCAATGCAGCTGAAAGGACCAAAGCAGATGTTTACAGAAGTACAGAAACCCCAACTACTCAACTCACATCCAGGTCAAGCAAGCAGAGAAGAGCTCTCTTCTCTCAGCATCTGCCCTTGCCCCGCCCCCAGGTAAGGAGCTACTACGCCTAAAAGTAGGACTGTTACTGGAAGCACCCAAGAACTTCAGTCTTATTTATTTTTTCTTTTCATGTCACTCATATTGGCTCTGAGAACTTCAAACTTTAATGATGAGGAATTCTGGCCGGGCATGGTGGTTCATGCCTATAATCCCAGCACTCTGGAAGGCCAAGGTGGGAGGACCATCGCTTGAGACCAGGAGTTTGAGGCCAGCCTGGGCAGCATACTGAGACCTTGTCTCTATTTTTAAAAAATAAAACAAATAATTTTTAAAAGAAGAAGAAATTCTCATAAATTTTTTCTGCTTCCATTTGTAATACAGGTAAATTAGGAAAATACTGGGAAAAAAAAAAAGTCATCAGTAAATTACAGACCATAGAAGTATCAATTGTGAACAGTGAAGCATTTTCATTCTGGATTTTTTTTTTCTTTTTAAAAAGATGGTTTGATATTCTGGGATTTTTTAAAGACACAGAACACACATAATAAATATGTAAAATACATCTTACTGCTTTTCTTACTTAATGTTTCTAAATATTGCTAGTGACCTTACACAACTTCTTGGTTTTAGTTGTTTTGGTTTGTTGGGTTTTTCCCCAAAATGGAAAATGTTTCTTTTAATGCAGCCAAGTCTACGCAACACCTGGACCCTACCTTGAAGCTCCTTATTCAACAGCACTAAACATAAAACATAGCCTATAAATACGTACAATTATTATGTACCAATACAAAAAATTTTAAGAGTGTAATCTCATAATGTGAGCCTGACTGATAAATGCTCCTGGATTTCAAAAATAAAGGGAAATATAATGCAGAAATTCTCCTGAAATCCTGCTTCCCCCCCCAAAAAAACCACAGAATTGTTTTCATCCTCTCAGAATTTTCCCTATGCCCATTTAAACAAGAGAATGCATATGTATGTTCTTTAAAACAATTTACACGCTGTTTTTTAATTTGCTTTGTTCATTTAATTACTTATAGTCATTTTTTTTGGCATAGAGCGTTTTGTGTGACTTGAAACATTTTTAAAATTAGAAATATAAATACCAGAGTATTTATAAATAATTTAAAGAAAACATGAACACCTGTTTGCTCACCAACCAGCTTAAGTAACAGGGAAAGCATCACCAGGACTTTCCAAGTCCCCCCCTACCCTCCCTGTTCAAGCCTCCCTCCTCTCTCCCTCAGAAGTAATCACTAACCATCATGTTGCCTTTTTTTTTTTTTTTACCCCCCCTCCAAATTTTGGCTATTACAAATAACACTCCCATTACACTATTGCACATATTTCCTGGTGCACAATAGTAATTATTATTTTGAGTCAAGGTCTCACTCTGTCGCTCAGGTGGGAATGCAGTGGGCATGATCATGACAAGCATGGCTCATGGCAGCCTAGACCTCCTGGACTCAGGCAATCCTTTCACCTCAGCATCCTGAGTATTCTTACATGTTTTAACTACAGGCACATGCCACCACACACAGCTATTTCTTTTTTAGTTTTTGTAGAGATGAGGTTTCACTATGTTGTCCAGGTTGGTCTCGAACTCCTGGGCTCAAGCCATCCACCTGCCTCAGCCTCCCAAAGTGCTGGATTATAGGTGTGAGCCACTGTGTCTAGCCATGATAATTATTGTACAAAGTGTTTCAATAAATTTACACTCTTACCTAGAGTAATAGGTTCCCATTGTTGAACATACTTGCTAAGCTTACTAGTTCAAATTTTGTTTTCCTTAACTCACAGAAAAATTTGCAAGAACATAAAATACGTGAATACTCTTTAGTTAGATTCACTTATGATTAACCTTTCAGTTCCTTGTTTTGATCACGTACATCTCTCTCTACCCCCCGTGTGTGTACATACATAAATTTCCTTGTATTATATACATATATAATTTTTTTCTGAATAAATTCAAAGCAAGTTGCATATATAATGTCCTTTATCTACAACTATCACAGTGTGTATTTCCTCAAATTACTTGTATATAATCAAAATGTAAATCATTCTGATAATATAAAAAAGCAAGTTTAACACGGATAAAATACTTCTACTCTAACCTGCTGTCCCTGTAACGGCTTTGTCGACTGAACCAGCAGTGCCTTCTGTGACCCTTTCCCTCCCCCACCGCAAGCTTCAGCCAAGGGGCACTCACTGCCTTGCCTTGTCATGGCCCTTTCTTCTCAATCTGGAACCGTTTTTCATTCTATTATAGAGTTGACGTTAGAGTATAATTTCTCCTTCCTCTCTGCTTTTTGGTTAACTAAAAATTCCATACTTTATTTAGAGTGCCTTAGTTTTTAAAAATTGAAGTGTAACTCAAATGCGATACAACTTTTTTAAAAATGAATTTAAAATTTCAGTGGTTTTTTTTTTAGCATATTTATAAGGTTATGTAACCATCACCATTATCTAATTCCGGAACACTTCCATCACCCTCAAAAAGAACCCAACACCCAAAAGCAATCAGTTGCCATCTCCCCTATCTCCCAATCCCTATCCTCTGGCAGCTACTAACCTAACTTAATGTCTCTATGGACTTGCCTATTCTGGACCTTTCAAATAAATGGAATGATGCAGTATGTGGCCCTTTGTTTCTGGTTTCTTTCACTTAGCAAGCTTTCAAGGTTCACCCATGTTGTAATTTCATTCCTTTTTATGGCTGAATAATGTCCCACTGTATGGAGAGACCACATTTTACTTGTCCTTTCATCACTGACAGACATTTGGGTCTGTTCCATTTTTGGTTATATAAATAATCCTGTCAATATTCATACGCTCAGTTTCCTTAGTTTTTATCTCACTCTGTTGCCCAGGTTGGAGTGCAGTGGCATGATCATGACAAACATACTCAGGATCCCATTCAGGATATCACATATACATATGGTGCTCATGTTTCTAGGCTCCTCTTGGCTATGATGATTTCTCAGACTTACTTCGTTTTACTGGCCTTGAAGTTTTGAGGAGCTCTAGTCAGGTATTTTGCAAAAATTCCTTCCATTGGGGTTTATCAGATGTTTTTCTCACAATTGCACTGGGATATGTTTGGGGAGGAAAACCAGAGAGGTGGGAAAAGTGCCACTCTTGTCACACCATGTCAAGAGCACCTACTGCCAGCGTGGCTCTTCCTGTGGATGTCAACCTCCATCACCGGGTTGAGGCCATGTCTATCAGGGTTCTGCACCCTAACGTTACTCTTTTCCCCCTCTGCAAACTGTACTTTGGAAGGAAGTGACGATCTACAGCACATTCATAGAGTGGGAGTTACGCTCTACTTCCTCAAGGGGGAAATATTTACATAAATTTAGAACTCTGCACAGGAGATTTGTCTCTTCTCCATTTATTTATTCAAACATTTATGTATGTCAGCATATACCTACATACACATAGATTCTTACACATGTGCATACTCACAGACCTATCTATATTTTTAGAAAACTGTAAGTCCACACCAATATCTCCAATTCCAACCCATTGCCACTGGGTTCTTGTCTTCCTCAATTCCATATCTGCATCTCACTTCCACAGTGACAATTCTGGCTTCCAACAACACATTTAATTATTCACTTGCTTAACCAACAACACATCTGAAAGAGTTTCAGAACTGCTTCACCCATATCACTTAAAAAAAAACCAAAACCCTAGACAAGAGGGTTCAGGGTTTGTCTGTAGTCCTCTCCCTTTCCCCCCAACTGAGGGTCTACAGTGAAACACATCTTAGGTGTCCATACATCCCTTGGATTAGAGTTTCCCTCCCAACCTCAACCCACTTCAGTGTGGCTATGTTACTCCTTTAAAATGCAGCTGGGGCAGATGTGGTGGTTCATGCCTATAATCCCAGAACACTTAGTTGCGTAGGCTGGTCTTGAGCTTCCTTGGGAAGCTGAGGTAGGAGAATCACTTGAGGCAAGTTCAAGGCTGCAGTGAGCTATGATCATGCCACTGCACTCCAGCCGGGGTGACATAGTGAGACCCTGTCTCTAAAATAAAAATACAACATAAAATAAAATACAGCTGGGTCAATTTGTCTCAGCTTTCAGTTTTAGGTTATTTCCCCTCTTCCTAACCTTGTTTAGTTTTTTAGTATGTAAAACATTAATGTTCTTCTGGAAGTCAAAGGTCTACAGAAAGTATACTCTTTTCTAAACGTCACTTACTCCCACGCTCCCTATTTCTCCCTCTCTCAACCCTTCTGGTCAACAATTAAGAACTTCAGTGTTTTCTGGTCAATTCTTACTGAGTTTCTTTTTATAAAGATAGATATATCTTATTATCTAAGATATAATTTTCTTAATTTCTTTTTTTTTTTTACACAAAATGTAGCATGTTATATATATTCTTTTGCTCTTTATTTTTCTCTCAATAACATATCCTACAGCCAGGTGTGGTGGCAAGCCCAGCACTTCGGGAGGCTGAGGCGGGAGGAATGCTTGAGCCCAGGAGTTCAAGACCAGTCTGTACAACATAAAAAAAAAAATTGCTGGGCGTGATGTTGCGTGCCTGTAGTCCCAGCTACTCGGGAGGCTGAGGTGAAAGGATCACCTGTGCCCAGAAGGTTGATACTGCGGTGAGCCCTGGTCATGCCACTGCACTCCAGCTTGGGTGACAGAGTTAACAACCTGACTCAAACAAACAAGCAGACAAAAACATATCCAGCAAACCACTATCACTTCATAAAGATCTCCCCCTCCTCCATTAATAGCTGCATGGTACTACATTAAGTAGATGAATCATCGTTTATTCAACAAAGTTCCTAAACTTGGACATCTAGGTAGTTTACAATATGTTATAATTACAAGTAATGCAGCAATGGACAACCTACTGCATTTATATTTG